CTGCCTTTGTGAAGATCGCTGAAACTAGTTGATGGTACAACTCTTCACTGTGTCTACTGATTTGTGTCTATGGCAAGTGGGGTTGTTTATTATGTTGAAGTTGTTTACGATGATTAATTTCGTTTTGTACTCCTATGACCTCTTCATTGTGGTAGTTGTTTTGAAAGGTGAACGTGGGTCCTTTCTCTGAAATTCTAATTTATTCCTGATCAAATTCCGTACCTATCGAATAGGTTGAGAAATTTCGGATGAAATTTGTAATACGGAAAATGAGCTTTTAGTTCCTTCTGCACAGTCTTCTGGTTGTTACTAGGCTAGAGATTCAATTTTTGAGTTTGTATATTCATTTCAGATATTTCACTCACTTCTTCTGCTATTTTGAATTGTAGGCAGTCGAATTCTACAATATAGAGGATGTATCTCAATCATTCCTGTACCAATGTTCGGTGTTATTTAATATTATCTCGTGCTCTATACGTGCAACTATTCTTTTCTTTCAACCACATATTTTCAATTCTCTGTTAGATTCTGAGTGCGGTGTGATTTTGGATGCAGAAATTGAACTTTATATATTTTGGTATGACCTATACACGGAAAAAAAAATTGTTGAATGAAATAAAATTCACTTCATTCAAAGAAATAAAAGTGTCATATATACACGACAAAATATTTTGTTGATGCAAGTAAAAAGAATTCTTGACTTCCTAACTATTTCTTCATTGTATCAAACAAATATTTCATTGAAACAATCGCATCCATTAGTTATTTCAATTCAAAGAAGAATTGAATTCAAGTAATATTTTGTCTAATTGATAGCGAGAATGATTTAGAGTAATTCGAATATTCTATTGAACAAACAAAATTTAAAGATGGGTGAAATAGTGGATCTGATTGAAATAATCAAATGTATTTTCTATTTGAGTAAAAGTTATGTTGAAGAAACATAATATATCTGCAGGATGATGGAGAACTTTGCTTGTTTTGATAATGGGAAAATTTCCACNCCAACAAATAATAAAAATATTGAAATGAAATTATCCATAATCTTGAAATTATTTCCAAAATTAGTTAAAGGTATTGATATGTATTGTTGAAGTGAAAATAAATATTCAGTTGATTCAATTATATATTAGTGTCAAAACAGCACCCCATAGTGTTAAACTGAATTGGAAAGTTTTCATTCAACAGACGTACTTTTGATTTGATGAAATTATATTGTTTGACTCAACCGAATTATTTTGAGAACTCAATAAATGTTATTCTTGAAATGATTCACAATTCATTTGACTAAGTAAAAGACCTCTTGAATTGAAATATTAGAGAAATTAAAATGAGAATTTCATTTTGTCTCCGCAAAATTATCATTAAATCAATACAATACACACGTCGTTTGGAATGAATGATATTTAATCAAAGTGATGAAATGAATTAGACTAAATAAATTTCTTTGAAGTAACAAATCTTTTTTTTTCCGTATAGTTTAGCACATTCCTTGTTAGACATCAAGTTCAGTAACATTTTTCTTGTACTCTGTAATCTGCGGTATCATGAACAAGTTATTTCCCCTAGTCGAGCAAAGCTAATGACATTATACTGCAAATTACAAATAAAGTACAAGTGTCCCTAAACCTGATGTTTAACAAGCAGTGTGCTGAATTACAGATAATACCAAATTATATGTAGTTCAAATATTCTGTCCCAGGTCCCAGAATCAAGTCATACTCAGAATCCAACGGATAATTGAAAATATGTGGTTAGAAGAAACATTACGCTGCTCGTATAAAGCACGAAATGACATCAAATTATACCTAAAATGCATTATAGCAAAAAGAGTGAGTACCTTATCTGAAGTGAAAAGTGAAATAAATAACAAACTTAAGAAAAAGATCTCTAATCTAGTTAACGAACATAAAATAACCCAGAAGGAAAGAGAAGCTCACTTTTCGGATTACAAATTTTATCCAAAATTTGTCATCCTATCCAATAGGAATCTCGATCAGAAAAAAAATTAGAGAAAGGAAGCAAGGTCACTCCTCAAAACAACAACGACAATATGATAAACAACCCCACTTGCCATAGACACAAGTCAGCATACACTACTTGTAGAGATATACCACCATCAACTAGTTCCAGTAGAGTTAAGGAAATGGTAGAGAATATCAAAAAAGAAGAACAACGACAAACTCATATTTCCAAAGGCAAAGTGAACATATCGAATACCATTCAAAATGCAGAATATTGTGGACACATGAGATGTTATCTTCTGGGAGAAAGATCCTGAGATCAAGAGGACCTTAAAAGACGAATATTGCAGTTACCTAAAGGATATTGACCATATCTGTACAATTATAAATTTGAAAGTTTGTGAGGATGAATGTATGCATGGTTATTTGCGGCTCTTTAAGTATTTAATATAGATAAATCTTGTCTTATACACTAAGTAATTCGGAGGAATGGTTTGAAAGTTATCATGATACGAATAACTTGACGCAATACAGTAAGCCATTACGCGTCGCGTCTACTGAAAGACGACGGGGTACGATGCGCGGGGGTAAAGGGGAGGTCTGAGCATCGCTGAGAACGCGACCCGTACGCGGGCAGACGCGTGAGGGCAGACGTCGTTGATGGTGGTATTAATTTTGCGAATTTCTTTATGCGTAACATAATTCGATTCTCAAAGTGCAGTTGGCATATTTTTTTAGTTATTTAATTTTCAAAGTGAAGAAATAAATAACTAGCTGTTGCCCGCTCTTATATTAACGTAGGTAAAGCCAAAGCTACTGAACCTAGAATCTTGAAATATGCAGGTAGGTTCTTTGTATAGCGTGAATAAGCATCAAGAATGGGAATCAGGAATTTCCACCCCAAGGGGAAAAACAGGGGTTTAATGATTGTGTTGAATTTCGTCAGTTTTGAAGTTGGAAACCTGAAGTTTTGAGTAATATTAAAATATTGTAACCATTTGTTTGTAATGGTCTGTCTCGAAACTTGATTTAACAAACCAAATTCTACGCGGGCTAAGCCGCGAGCAACAACTAATCATTGTATATTCAAGGACTTGTTTGTTAAACTGCGTCAGTTTACTTGAAAATGGTTCAAAAAACCGAAATCGATTGTAACAACTGAAATTCTTGATAGAAATCAGACGAAAGTTATTTTCTCTATCCTATATCGTTATTTATGAATGCCATGAATATAGTGTTGGATTGGAATAAAAAACTGATACATATTATTGAAACTCGTTTCTGTGATTTTTTTTGTCAGGTGATGATCTAAAAGAAATATTGACACCTTTTAAATACATGTAAAATAAGTTCAGATTGTGAACAAAATTCCTGTTACTATTCGACAATTTTTCATAAGACTCCCCTTCAATTTATACGAAAGAAAAGGTTCTTTTGAAAGCATCTGAATATATTCACGTACTATCATCGTGACATGAGAAGTTTTGTCTTTCCCGATAACAAAATACCATTATTTTGTGAATGGAATAAGTACTTCTCGTCTTCGTTAGGTGTTAATGAGGTGATGAGATGAGCGTCTTATTCCAAAACTTCAATTTCACAACGAATGTTTGGGATACCTACAAACTTAATAGAAAAAAGTTATTTCCGTTAATTCAGTTTTCATATGAAAGTTCATGTGAAAAAAAGTTGTTTTAAGGGGGCTTTCTCTGTCAGTTCGTATCTAAATGTTTCTATACATATATCTGTAAAGAGTTTATTTTGAACTTGATCATTTTCTCCTTCCCTTTGAAAGTTTTCCACATTTCCGGTATGAAGATAGAGAAGTAGAGAGCCGAAAAAGCATTTCTGTCAAAAATTATCTCTTTAAAGAGTACACCTCTTTCAATTCAAGGAAAACCACTTTTTTGTAGAATGGATTGCCTTTTTCATATAAATTTGTATTTTTGACAATGATGACGGATGTGTTCCATTAGAAGTAGAAGCTTTGTTAAGTTCAATGTTCCAAACTCAAGAATTGCTCTTTTCGTCTAATTTTCACCAACCAAGTTGAACATACATATAGAATTTTAATTTTCATGTATTTTATCATAAGTGTCTACAAATTTTGATATTAAAATCAACCCTAGATTCTTACCAAGATACTCATATTCGAAAAACATTAATTCCATTATTTTCAGAATTGATGGTAATAAATCAATTTCTTTCAATGATTACAATGATGATTTCAAAATAGCGGTTCAATAACTAATCTATGAATGTCTTCACCTAGAAAATGCGAATTGTTATAATATTCGAAAAACATTAATTCCATTATTTTCAGAATTGATGGTAATAAATCAATTTCTTTCAATGGTTACAATGATGATTTCAAAATAGCGGTTCAATAACTAATCTATGAATGTCTTCACCTAGAAAATGCGAATTGTTATAAAATCCGAACAAAACTACACCCAAAAAATTCCATCAATTAATATTATTATCATTATTCAATTAATAGGGGTCATCGCTCACGTTTTTTATCGTTTTACTTCACCAAAATTTCTAGCAGAATGTATGCAATAATTACATCCCACAACAAAAAAAATGAGAATTATAATTGAAGGGATTGCCACCTTATTTAGAGAGACGACCTTGCATCCTTGAATTTTCGACCAGAAGATGTTCCTTTTGGCGAGAAAGGAATTTAAAAGAGACTGTATCCGGTTGGTAAAAAAAATATAGTTCAGGTGGACTGTTTCAAATTGGCCACACTGTATATAGATAAGAATTTGTATACTAAATTATTTGAATTTGATCGATACACTTTTCCTAACTTGTAATTGAACTTCTTAAAATAGGTTGTTATTAATGAACGTTGTAATAATGAAAAATAGGACTGAATACAAATCCAATAGATAGTGCTTGAAGCAGTTCGAAAATAATTATAACTCGAAGTATCTATTCATTGTTATCGAAATGTAATGAACTGTGGAAAAACGAATTTGCCACAATTAACGTATGGCATATATCAATCAAATGAATGATATATTTGTTTGTTCATCGTGAAGAATAGTCTCACCTTTTTATTGGTTTTATATTCTTGAAATACTTCATTAACTCAAACTGGTGGGAAACGGTAAAAATGTAAGTTTGGATTTTGAAAGCTATCTAGAAAGTTATTATATAATAATTTTTTAGCGTATTTCTGATATTTTAGGATTGTTGAAGATTTGGTAGTAAGTCAAGAAATATTCCTACTTTTAGAGCCTCTAATTAGAACATCGAGGATTTTTGGAATCTTTCCTGTTGTTTTGAAAAGAAACGGAAATAGATTAATTCTGCATTGGTCATATCTATTTGGAATATACAGTTATATATTATCTATAACACTTGGTAAGTGATAGTAATTAGAAGTGAGTAGCTCGGTATATAACCATAAGAGCTGAAATAGTAGGAGTTACACATACATTGTAATTTAAATTCACAGAAGTCGCTTCTGAAAGAATGAACACACTCAGTTGATTAATAAATTCAAACATGAACCTTATTTATTTGCCTGTATGATGAAATGTTCATACAATGATGATTCGTACAAATTCGTTACATATAGGGGTGCTGATGCAACCCAGAAATTTCTCTCCAAAATCAAACATGATTTGAAAATTATACACAGTGGCCATTTTTTTATTGAAATTGTATTGATAACAATAAGAGTAAGAAGGTCGGTGGAATGAAAAAAAAATAGCATTCATGGAAACACTGCCAAGTGGTTCAAACAAATCGAGAATATCAGGCCGGTTATCATTAGTCATAAGAGAATCGGATTTTGTCATGTTCTTTTTTTCACTTTATTAAAAAATTATAGGAAATGTTACAGGCATTTTCCATTCGATAGTTGATTCTCCCCAATTTGATGTAATCAGATTTCGAATCCAACGTTTTGTACTCTCTGGCCACTCTCAACCTTATTTTTTCGATTCGAATCTGCATATTTTATGACACTTTTCGAAATAACTTTTCACGCATAATTCAACGATATATCATAGAATGTCATTCAAAGTTGATCATCAGATGAGTTCAACCCTTATCAAAATGTCTTTGGTTCGAATTTATATTAAACTTATCTTCAGTTCAATTAACAACGTTCAATACATTTCAATAAAAAAATATCTGCTCAATAGCCCCTGGTTCCAACAAGAAGGGTGTGGTCCAAACAACTTAAGAATAGTCACAGATTATTTAAATCAACTATTCTTGATTCATGGATTGAAACAAGAGTTCCAGTGGCATGGGCAGCCATATCTCCAGATTTGAATCCGCAGAATTTTTATTTGTGGGGATATCTCAAAAACAAAATTCATGACACTACGAATCTGACAATAGAGATTTTTCGCAAAAAGATTGAGAATGCAAGGAGATGAACTCCTCAGATTCTGACTTGAGCCCACCTGACCTGACAAAAGCAATTGTCAGTTATTTTGATATGCCGAGGTCTCAATGTTGAAAACTTCATCCATCAGCTTGTCCTGTAACTGATTACTGCGACTCTGATGTGAGCCTGAGTCTGAACTCTAAAAATTGATTCATAGGAAAAGTTCTCTCGAAACGTAAAATAAACTATTCAGTTATTTGAATATTACTGGAGCTTCATTCTAACACCAAACGCTTATGTGTTTCAATCATCTTCAAGAGGAAGATTGAACTAAATCCACGTTCAATGTGGTCCCTATTTATACCATAGATAACTCTGCAAAGTATCTATGGAATAAATCTTGCCTTTTCTACTAGTCAGGTAAATCTGATAACTAAAAATGCTTATTTCAATAAGCTGTATAGTAAACTAGTAGGAATTGTTCCACCACCGTTATTTATATATTACATATCAATATGTTGACCTATATCTGAGCCATTATAGGCATCTAGATGTCTGTTGTTGTTTACTTGCCTAATAAAAATCACTTCAAAACCTAGTTCTTCGAAAATCTTCGAAAATTCTTCGTGTATTGAAATAAGTCATACACTACATAGCCTTTTAAGAAATCTGAAGGACAAAGTCGAAAATTTAAGAAAGTCTGGAATTAACGAAATTAAATTTAAGGACTGCGATGCAAAATATCATGGACAGACAAAAAGATCTATTAGAATAAGATATTGAAGGACCACATAGCACATCTATAATATGTTACACCAGAAAAATTAGCAGTCACTCATCATTTTTTGCAACAAAACCATTCCATAGAATAACGATTGTGAACCAATACCTGACAGTTCACTATATAGCTTGTTGAAATAAGTGTTTTTAGTTATCAGTTTCACCAGACTAGTAGATGAGGACACATTGCAAGGACAATGTATGTTGACTTAGTTTAGTCTTCTTCTTGAACTTACTGACTGAAACACGTGTTTTATTGGAGACTCACGATTTGTTGTTGGGATGAAAACCCAATAATATTCATTACTTTACCAAAGGTTCGAAATCAAATATTATTCTCCCTGCCACAGTTAAGTTTAACTCAACGTATCTATTTTTAATTATTCGTTTTCAGCGATAACAACTGTTACAGGCATTGTAAAAGACATAGAGAAAGATCCATCAGAATCTTTAAAAATGAAAGACAAAAAAACTAGATTCGTTGCCTGTTGCGATATAACCATTGTTACATTAGTGGTAATTTATGGTGTTGTGTCGCTTCCATTGAGAATGAAGAAGTTTTGGAGTTTAATAATCTGCTTAAATCAGGTTAGTATAATAAATTTTTCAATTCTAAAGAATTTCTTTGCTGAGAAAATATCAACAATTTCATGTTACAGGCAAATGAAATAATACCTCTGGAGAATTTGGTGAAATTATTGAAATCATCGCGATATATTTTGGGAATGGTACTAACTGTAGCTCTTGGTATTCTCGGAGGCGATTTGATTTTATGGCTCATCCACTCACAGAAAATTGGAATTAATCCTGTCGTTTATATCGAATATTACCTACCTTTCTATTTAAACTATATGGTGGTTATTATGCATGGCTTGTTTTATTGGCACTTGATATTCTTCATAAAAATTAGAATATCGTTACTGAACAAAAGCCTTATAGCTATGAAAAAATCTATGTGTATGAACTGTTCTTTTAATTCACGAGACATGATATCTGAAATGAATGCTGGTGAGTTTGTGAGGCTGTACCAACACCCTTCCAGGATACACAGTAAGTAAATTCGGTATTACTCAGTTTGAATGAGCGAAAACTTCCTATTACCTAATCAAATATTTTAATTTTGGGGCATTCAAGTTAACATTTTATGACATTCAACGTGCCCTAATTAAAATAATAACTAACAGTGATAGTGTTCCTAAAGTAGGAATTTTTCATCGTCCTCCTTCAGAATTTTGTATTGTTTCGAATATTGATAGTTTTTGAGTTTTTAATGAAATTGAGATTTCAACTAAAAACTTAAAGCCTTTTCTCCATTTTCGAATAGATAAAGCAACTTGGAAGAATTTGGGACACACTATCATGACAAACTGAAAATGAAAAGTGTTTTCAAGAAAAGAAATGAGTATTGATATCGGTGTGATGCAATACATCCTCAAACTCTTGAAAATGTTTAATAAAGACTCCAAGAGACCTCTCTAGTACTTACATAACTATGTTTTGCAATGTCGTGTGCATTATTATTTGATTTTTGGGGATCTAAATGAAAATAGGAGATAAAAAGTTTACTGGCGTCACTAAAAAAACATATTGGATTTCTGGTTTTTTTCGGAAAGGTCGTTGATATTCAATAAAAAACTGGAAAGAAAATGTAGAGCCTTGAAAAAACAACATTATTGGTGAAGGCATTCAGAAGACAAATCAATGACACATTTTTGAGAATTTCTATTTCCAATTACCTAGCAGCTGCATTTAAAAATGTCCTCTCTTGTGATGAATTCATTACACTTTCTCGCGTTTTGGAGGGATTCTAAGTCATAAAATTGAGCAATTAGTTTTGAAGTAGAAGGCCTGCGTACAAATGTTTCTTCACATGAAAACAACAAAGATTATCGAGAGGAGGCATACCGATGAATGAGATTGTCAATGGAGTGAATAGAGTAAATAAAGTAAATAGAGTGAATAGAGTGAAAAGTCATGGACCAAAAAAAGAAAACGCCTTTTTAGAGTCACAAAATCATTCCAGCGATACCGTAACATTTCAATGCCACATCTGTAGAACTATTTATCTTTTGCCTCAAATAGACCTACGTCACCTACCGGTGAGCATTTTTTTAAGGTCTGCGAATAGCTAGTAGTCGTTAGAAACCAAATCTGGGGAATACGGTGGATGTGGGAGCAATTCGAAGTTCAATTCATGTGATTTTGCCATTGTTTCAATTGATATGTGACACGGTTCTTTGTCTTGAAAAAACACTTTCAATTTCGGCTTTCAAACGCTTCAATAACGTTATATAATATTCACTGCTGTTGGTATTTCCTTTCTCAAGGTAGTCGATAGATATAACACCAAGCATATCCCAAAATACCTCAGCCATAAACTTTTCATCCAATTGTTGTGCTTTCGGGCGCTTTAGACGAGATTCACCAGTTGCTCTCCACTCAGATAACGATCGTTTCGATTCCGATTATGAAAATAGTTGTGTTAGAAAAAACAATATATTCGATAGAAAAACATATTTTGCTGTTGATAGAAAGATTATGAGTGATTAAAAGCAAATTCTCAGCAACCAATTGTGATGTTGATAGGAAAACGTTTTTAGAAAAATTTTGCAACTGCTAATAATAATGATTAATATTTAAAGATAGTGAAATCAAAAGCCTAAACCTTTCTTTTCCATCATTTGGAAATTTTGAAAATGTATATACTTTTTTTCAGTTCAAAAACTAGAAGCTCTGATGAAATTAGAAGGAAAAATTATGGAATCAGTAGATATCGTAAATGGTTCAATGGAATTTGGTTTACCCGTAAGTAAAACAGTCGTCTTATTTAAATTTTTTCAAAACAAAACTCCTGTCAGAATATCTAGTTTGGAAAATTATTTGTTGAAATCGAATGAAGAATAGAAAAGGATATATTTGAATTGAATTTATAATTAGTTCTTTAAACATTTGTTATAGAATTGAATCAAATATCATCAATAGAAATGCTTGACAATACAGTGCACGAAAGAAATTTTTGTATAATTCAATCTTTTCATGAAAGTAGTTGTTACGTGAGGAGTTTCCTTCCAGTTTATATCTGAAAGTAACTTCTATGCATCATCTATATATCTTTGTAAAGAATTTATTTCGAAATGAATTGCTTTTTTTCTTTTTTTGAAAGATTCTACAATTGTTTATATAAAGATGAAGAAGTAGAATGCCAACACTTCACTTCCTATTTGAGAATGTAGTAATATATAATACATTTCTACAACTGTTCTATGTGTTTTCTAAAGTGTGTGGTATCAATCTAGTATTTTCAGCCGATGATCAAAGCTTGGTGATTCATTATCCACCATATATACCTAACCATCCCATATGATAATAATAATAATGACAATAATATTCATTAGAACTATTCGTTCTCCACCCTTAGGCTCATACAAGCTAATGAGCCTGATGAAGTCCTTCTCGACCACCACAGAAAGACGATGCTTGTCGTGGAGTTTTCAGTTCCTGGCGAGACGAATATCGTCCGAAAAGAGGAGGAAAAATGTATAAAATATCGAGATTTTCTCTTCAAACTCCGCAGATTCTATCCAGATCACTCTATCAAGATAGATATTCTGATTATTGGAGTCCTTGGTGGAATGATGCCCTCTCTACTTTGGGGGATAGGGCCTGACCAGCGCATACTGAAATAATAATAATAATAATAAAAGCAGAGATGGCCACTGACACCCTTGGACTTTGGTAAGTTGCACCACCACTTACCTGAGCAACTTTGTGCAAAACCGGCTCGGCAACCCAGGCGCACCCGGATAGTAGAACACAATCCTCCCTCCGGTGCCGGCCGTGAGTCCACAGAGCTAACCAGCCAGTAGACCCGAAACCTGATTCCTGGTAATCGAGAAAGGGGCTCCGACAATCGACCCGCTCCGAGGGGTCAGAGGCAAGGTGATGGGGCACATAACGATGATTTGCCTACCGTTGACAACCCTAGCAATGCCAACGGACGCATGAGATAAGTGATAGTCTTATGCATTACTACGATAGTAATGAGCCCGCGCGAAGAGGATACATGGCGAGATTGCATGCTCTGCTCAGGACTATATAGCTCCTTCTCAACCTGCTAACAAAGTGGTAGAAGTAACAGTTCTACCACCCTCATCTAAACGATGAGGCTGACATCTGGCAAATCAACACCGCCGTATGTAGCGTCATCCAATCGCTTTCCGAATCGAAAGGACGAAATCCCGGCCCTGCGATTCGGAAGATTGAAAGGCGTGTACACAAGATGGAGGCTAAGATCACGTCGGCGAGACAACACGCGTCGCATATCCAATGTGTGATGGATTACAGGGCAGCCAACAGACCTTTCACGCCCGCAGTGTAGCAAATAGTCGCCAAACTACGATGTATCAATCACACTTTGAGTCAAGGCGTGCTGCTGACCTCCCAACAGCACTGCCTTGATAGGATACGAATGCTAGTGGTTGTTTAGAAGTCACTAGTGAAGCGAGCGAAAAGTATCGCGGAAAATATTAGGTTTCGGCACTCTTACGGTATTGACGAGACACCGGTGTTGCCCTACGACCCGGGGATATTGAATCCGTTGTGGGAAACGAGAAGTGCCGCTATTAATTAGAAGCTATTAATTCTCCACCCTCAGGCTCATACAAGCTAATAAGCCTGATGGAGTCCTTCTCAACCACCAGAGCAAAACAATATTTATCGTGTAGTTTTCCGCTCATGGCGAGACGAATACCATCCGAAAAGGGGGCGTCAACAAGTATTATTGCTAATGAACTGCTTGGTCAATTTTGAAAATGTCCTGGAGAACATTCATTTCCTAATACCAACTATTTTGAGATAGTTATTCGAAATCAAGTGTTCTTCACTATATTTCGCTTCTCTGCCCTTGGCTGAGATCAAAATATCTGTTCTCATTGTATAAATTTGTTATTTTGTAAATATTGAGAAAAATATGTTTCTGCTTTTAGTTACTTAATCACTTACATATAAAAAACATTTGCGAAGCTGTGAGACTTTCATATTATTTCATGTATATTCACATTGATGCTTCTCGTAAAGTGCAGGTACTTTTATTTCAATGAAATGTGTTCACCTGTCAAAACTTGAACTTAAAAAATTCGAGGAATGTAGAGGTTTTCACGGTCAATTTAGGAAAATCCACGAAGATTTGGAAATTGATAATGGCGACAAGTTCCAATATTTACTTTATTCCACTGAGCAATAATTTGTTGCGAGGGAGTTGATGGAAAGTTTTCCACATTCAGGAGATAACAACGAGAAAGCCACAAATCAGTTATAATCTAGGTTTGTTAGGGATGAACTCCTAATTGGAATATTTGTCAGAGCACTTCTAAATCTTGTTTCTTAACAACAGTCAATAATGCAGACAGCAGGTATGTCTAACTTAAATGACAAACTTGAAATGCTACTTAGAGCTCTTGAAAGTTTAGGGACGACATCGTGATTTAGTATCTAAAAATAAGTCACTTAATGAACCCACTAGTTTATTCAAATCTTCTATTGGGTTTTGCCGAAGTTGAGAGTGTAGAATGCATGAAGTTAGCACGCACCAATTTCAAGCAGGAAAAAAAAACAGGAAAAGTACACGAAACGAACAAGGTTAAATCTCATGAACTCAATACTGTTTTACCTCACAGAAAAAGAAAAGTGGGAAAGCTCATTACAGCATATTCTACGAAAAATCTTACATGATCAACTATTGTTTGAAAGCAGAAAAAGGGATTTAGTTTTAAAAAGGAATTGTTGTTTTGGCTGCCTTAGACTAAATCATCAACAAATATTGTCGTTTATTCATCAAACGTTTATTATGTTGGAAAACATTTTCCAATTATGTGTACAGAATCACTTCCAAATGGTTCATTGGTAAATTTTAAATCGAATGATACTTCAATATATCGTTGGACTGGAAATATTCCATACAAGTAACACTCCATTGTGAAATTTTCACTGGATAGTTTAGAAAACTGCAACACCTGTTTCGCTATACAGAAGCTTCCCCAGGCGTGTTCACATTAAGTAAACTCTATTTGATTAGTGCCCCAGATGATATATTAATTTGAATTATGTTCTTTCTAATTATTGACTAATAATTTTTCCAGAGTTCAGGTGCTAACGTCTAAAAAATTTAAGAACTATAAAAAAAACTACCTCCTTAGAGTAAAGGTATGAACTTATTGAGAATTGAAACATTACAAAAAAATTCACCAATAAACTAATTACTAATTTCCACATTGAAAAACTGATTGAACTGGAGAGTGAATTTTCAGAAAATTCGAATCTATTTTTTTTCTGACAGTAGTATATTCAATAGTATGTGGAGCAAACAGTTGAATGCTGCTACTTTAGGCTGATAGGGATGTGTCGAGGGATTATGTATAACAATGTCCGTATGAGTTAGTGAAAATACTTATATTTCCAATGAATTGATGGATATAGTCGTTATGCGTGGTAGGAATTAATTATGAAGAAAAGGGAATTGAAACTTTCTATATTTTTCACCACTTTTATTTGTAACTAACGTTCCTGCAGTTTCGTCCTATAAAGACATTTTCAAACTTATAATGTTTAATGTATAACTTTAATGTGTAAATTTAACTGTCCAAGAAAGTTTTTATTGCCTTTTGTGTGAGGTTGGAATCTACCAATCTCTACGCACACAATTCAATAGCATCGATTTCCACTGGAAATACAGTCGCATAGATCCCTGGGCAGGTTGATATTTCTGTCCAGTTTCATACTTGATAATGGAGTTAAACCCGAAACCGGTCGTATAAATAAAATTAACTAGTGGTGATTAGACGAATTGTCAAAAATTTTTGCTACAAAATTCCCGAACAACAAGAGGTATTACAAATACACAATTTACAGTTCCCTCAATGCATAAAACTTTGACTCAAAAATCAGTTTATTTTTATGGACCCAAATTATATAACCTTCTCACAAATAATATAAAAGAATCAAAAAGTGCCATACGATTCAAAAAAGAAGTAAAATAATTTTTAATGGAAAATTGCAATATTTTCAATATATTCTAAGTGAACAATAATCTCCCAATTACTAACCCTCACAAAAACATCCATAGGTTGTAAACTATACGCCTGTTTTAAACAGGAACATTATTCTATCAATTGTTTCACTCCTCTAATATCCAAGCATTATGAAAGCCTAAGATGTGTATAAAACAAGTAAATCGGACACATTCTATGTACAACTAATCTTATCACTGATCCACGATATATTGTTAGAATAGGAATATGATCTTTCAAAAAATAACTTTCAGAAGACAGGCATTAAGTTGCCTAACTGAAACTGGAAGAATCATATTAAACAAAATGTGAAAAAAAATATTAAACAAAATGTAAAAATGTATTTCCAATTACCTGAATTGAATAAATTGAAAATTGAATTGAATTTGCTCTTCTGAAGTTCCGTCTAGCGCGGGGTATTGATCTTACTAAGGGGATTGTATAACCAATTTTAATAATGACTGGGCAGTGTTGGCTGTTCGGGAAGTCTGATAGGATCTTCGTGATGCTGCTAGTGGAAGGTTGTTTCAGTCGCTGGTTACAAAACAGAGGTCCGGGTTATAATCTTATCTCCAAGCGGTCGAGCGGAAAGTGCCCAGTTCCTTTGCATATTATGCACTTCTGTCCAGTTTACTGAGGAATCGCCATTTTCATCATTTGATCTATATTTCCACTGCTCGTGATGGCTGTTGAAGTCACTAACATATGGAGATGGGTGTGGGTGAATTTCAAGAACGTGTGCAGGCCATGTGGTGGCAGGGGACTGGTAGATATTGATGACTGAGATTCCCCTTATTCTGGAATAGGAATATAAGGAAGACATTGAATACTTCCGGTCATTACGTGAGCTGCTGTGACAAAACTCTTCAGAATTGGATAAACAAACTAGGATTCATATATAAATGATAAACAAACGTCAAGCAGTTCTGGAAAGCAGAAGAATAGTGGAATTGCGTAACAAATACTTAGAACAAATATCTATGGCTAGTGACTGAAGTACTGTACTGAAAGTACTGAAAGATGGAACAATTCTGGTACTTATAAGAAAAAAAATGTAACAAATCTGGTACTTACAAAGAAAATGGTAAGGTAAAGAAAAGCTTCAAACACGCTATAGCCTTTTCAATTGATTTTTAAAGACCTGAAGTGATATACATTAAAAAGATCTAAGTTATTATGATACTGATTTCCCAGCTTCAGAATACGACGAATCGGACTGTTGGTATGGAAAAAATGTATATGAAAAATGTCACGATTTCCCGTATCTTTTTGTTTGATATAAAAAATTATTAGTTGAAGTAGTTTTGGGCAGTTTATGTCACTATTTATTTATTTGAGGAGGAAACTCAAGTTCATAGAAATTACCCTATCTTCTAATGATTTCCTATTTAACTTGATTAAGAGTTGACTGTACTCATATTCATTTCGTTGAATACCAACGTAAAAAGCACAATTCCTTAAGAATTTATTTTGAACATTCTCAATCAAATCGTATTTACATTATAGTATGGGTGCCATATAACTGAACAATATTCAAGAATGGATCTTACGAAAGCACAATATGATTTTTTTTTGTTTTAATTGAAAAATCAGTAGAAATTCTCAACACAAAACCTAGCATTTTGGGGCTTTTTGCCACAATTTCTGATACTGATTTCTGATTTTACTCCCAGATCGCGAATAAATGTTTCTCTTTTAAGAGCTATATTATCAATGTATATTCACGGAATATTGGACTTCCAATTTTTGTGAACGTAATGATTTGGCACTCATCAATGTTTATCTCTAATAAATTATTTGTACACCACATGGAAAAGGCTTCAAGATCTTTTCGAAATAATTCAGCATCTTCTCGGAAAATAATTGCTTGACAAGGTTTGAGATCATCAGCAAACATGATTAATTCTGAATATTTGGAAACAAACTCTATGTCCGATACAAATAAGTTGAACAGCAGTGGGCCCATATGGGATCCCTGCGGTACCCCTAATGGGGTACCGTATTTTACAGACACTAACAGTTCTATCAGTTGAGAAGCTATTGATTGCTTGCAAAACATTCACGCCTATACCAAGCGCTTGAATTTTAGATATAAGTAAGCCGTGGTGGACTATATCAAAGATTTTGGAAAAGTCAGTATAGACATAGTCAACTTGTAGACTCTTCTCAAGATTTTCAGTGAAGTAGTTTGTTTGAAGAGAAAGATTGGTACAAGTGGATTTACCTTCTGAGAACCCGTGTTGTTTGTTGGGAATTGAGTAAAGACTCACGGTCCCAGGAAAGTTTCTTTGTAAGCATAGAATCAAATATATCAGCCTTCTCTGACTGATTGCAAACTGCTCTATAATTATTAATATTTTTCTTATCTCCTTGTTTATGTATTGGTTTCAGGAAGCCAAGTTTCCAATTTCATGTCATTTCTCAGTATAGTTGGGAGTAGCATAGCATGTTATTTGTCTGTTCGAGCACATACTTGTGGTATAATTCCTACAGATTCTATGGGTGAAAATTTGAACTAGAATACAGTTTTGAATCCCACCCGAAGAAGAGAGAGAATTGATGCTTTTGGGAAGTATGACATTAGCCCAGGTAGAAAAAAGATCCTCATGATTTCCCCAATAGGTTTAACCTACAATTCGCTTTATATTACTCAAACATTAAAGTCGCGATTGTTCTTTAAGGTCAAATAAATATCACCGTATATAACGCCCTTTCAGAGGACATCGAAATCATCCAGAAAAAATGGGCATCTTCAAACCCACTAGTGAGATGTGCTCCTGAATATCAGATAACAACTGAAAACTATTATCTCTTAAAGAAAATGGCTTATGAGATGATGATTATAAACATAAAACTCTGTAGTGGAATTATTTCCATTGCGAACCCCAATCCAATAGCTGCTTCTAAATGATACTGGAGCCTTCCAAACTCTGGTAGCTTTTGGTTGCCTTTCCAGTGGAAACTCAGAAGTGGGGTCATTATCACAGCTCATATCGGCTTGTTGATGAAGGCTCTGAAAAAGAATAATGTCATTTTTGGATTGAGAGAGTTATCTTTGGGGCAGCTACTACTTCTCAAGTGTTCCATCTGGTTGAAAAACTGAGAATTATTAACATTGAAAAAAATACTTCGACGGCTTCTTAGGAACAAATAATGACGAAATTATTCATTCATCGTTCCGATCCATCATTTCATATATAAAATCACTCGCAACGTAAATCAATCAAATTTTGAGCATAAACTATAATGAATCTCAAACGATATTGAATATTAATTTCACTCCTAGAATTGAAATATTTTTTTATTTTTATAGAAAAAGAAAACCACAATAATCCTTTGTCAATTACTTAGATGCGAATTCGAGAGGCCAGTTAAAATAATGGTAAGAATTTTGATATCGATGTTTTTCTGAAAATTAATATTTTAAACTTTTTCAGATATCGTCATTCATATTACGAATCAGTCAATTCAGACTACAATTTTCTTCTTGCGGATATTTCAAGATCAACAGAGCTCTGATAATAAAAGTACGAACATTTTATGCAAATTAAAGTGAATTCAGTTATTTTTTTCAGGTGGCTGGCTCAGTTACCACTTATTTGGTGATACTCTTTCAGTTCAACTACTAAGAGCCAAGTTAAATACCATTCTCAACTAAAGAACCGTATCCCAAAGCCTTGAAAAAAACTTTCCATTACTTGAAATGAATGATGTTTCAAATTCAAAAATAATAATAGGATATTAGTTAAATATCGTAGGTATGTTTTGTCTATGCAGAGTAGAGTGTACTTGATTAAATACTGAGAGTAAAAAGAAAAAAAAAATTAAATGACTTCCAATAATAATAAAAATTCGAACCTATATTTCATTCATGATCATCAAAAATCACAATTTGTAGTTTTCACGCATTCTCCCTCAATGCAATCTATGATCCGGATTAGAAACGTCTTTTCCTAATCTGTTCAAAAGTATTTTACATGTATATTCAGTGTGTTGAAAAATAAATCAGGATTGGATTGGCGGGAAAAATCCTTACCAGACTCTGATTTTCTATAAATTCAAAACTGATTTGTTTTACATTACAATTTTTATTGAAAGAACAAATTTCGTACCAATTGAAAATTATGAAATATACAAACGTTGGCAGGTATAAACAGGTAAGTCGATACCATACTCTTTTTCTCAATAGTAAAAAGTGATGAATGCTGATTATAAACGCACAACGCCAAAAGAGTGCTTGAACAAAATTTTGTAATTTTGTTTTGATTTGTCATAAAGGATATATACTAGTTTATAATATTTTACTGGATCCACTTTTTTTTTGGATCGCAAACAAAATATTTCATGGCCGTTTGAGTCTCTTTGAACCTGGGTATTTATTAAAACATCTATGTTGAAAGTACTACGTTCATACATTTATCACCAATTAATATTGTTATAATATTTCATTTTGAAATATTTCCATGATAATACTTATCAGGTATCAGCAAAAGTTATGGTGTGCTATCATTATATGAATCCGATGAGTGGGGTGTTATGATGAAAGGTTTCACAATTTCCCCAACCAAATGGTCTAATTTCCACTTATGAAGTGTTCAATACATTTTTGTCACATTTCAGAATCAACATTTGTAAAGGACTCACTCAAGAGTATTTTTACATTTTATCATCCCAATGTCGTATTTCTTGCAACGAAACTCCTAATTTGAGCCCAAAAGTGTTCAATGTATTTCAGTTCGTAATGATTTCATCTGGGCAACTACATATCTCCTGAAACATTCATTCTTCATTCGATAGTTCATTCTACCCATACTTCAATTAAATGGTATGTTTTTTGTAGAAGACACTCAATGCCATCCGCTTTTCTTCATGTATTAATAAGTATCCTTTCAACTTCTTCGGAATGAAACCTTTCATTATGCAGCACAATCACAGAATCAAGTGGTATAGTGTCTAATATTTTCTCAAAATATTCTCCAACCACATCTCCGTTTACGCCTAAATGGTAATTACAGAATGCTTCGACTCAAACATCAATAAATCGTTCCCAATAAAACCACCAACACTTACAATGTGCATAATTATCAGTCGCTTTGTTTCTCCAGAAGGCGACTGTGATCCGGTGAACTAACCTTCTATTGTCCCACCAGGACAGATGGGTATGGGGAAGCGTGTTCAGCAACGCCGCTCTCGCCGTTTTCATGTCCTTTTCATTGTAACTGCCACCTGGTGCCCAGATATGAGTCCCAGTAATTTCGGGACTCATTCTCAACTCGTTCTCGTCGTGGTTTTTCTGTATGTATTAGTAACTGGCCCCGCCATGAAACTACCCCCAAGTCTCCACCGACTTCAGGGTAATCCTCTGGCCTGTCTCCACCCCCTAGTTCTATCACTAGAGCGCCAGTTACTGTCGCTGGGCAGATACACTATGCGCCTTTGGGCAGTGCATCTACCTTCCGAAAACCGCTAAGAGTTTCTAGGGGGCATCGCGACGCCTGGCTTTGGAAGACCTGTCCTTCGTCGACTCTGCTTCCATATTCACTGCTACTTCGACTCTTAGTCGGGCTCGGTAATGACGTTGATAATCTTGGAATTCCTAATTCCACAGAATTACTGTACAACCTGTATACGTCTATCTTTGGTGTGTCTACCACATAGGTAGACAACACCCGTTGCGCGCTGACTTTCATCGTCACGCCAGACTTGCCAACCGTAGCGGAATTCCGCTACCGTGGCGGAATTTACTCGACGGTAGCGGCGCAGCAGATTTGAACATAAAGTAGCGGAATTTTCTACAAATGATCATAATTGAAAAAATATGGAAGAAGAAGAAGAGACAGTGCACAGCGCTCGAAGCTGACAGCTGACAATTGAATAATTGAATGCACAGTCCTGCATAGTCAATACATTATAGTCTTAGTAGCCGAAGTCATTACATGATGAAAGAGAAGAAAAATAATTTTTGATATTTTCATTACTATCATAAACTATATAATCTCCAATATCTTGGAACTGAAAGGCTCAACTGTCTCGAGTATTATGAATTATATGGAACAAATTTCAGTAGAAATGGAAGATAGTTCATCTGATTGTAGCTCGAGCGGAAGAGCTGCAGCAGTTGAAATTGACGGGAACGGGACATGTTCAAAAAAAACACAAAGGTCACGACATCGGTTGTCTGATTCCAACTTGAAAGGATGGAGTAGATCTGTCGCGAATGATCGTTCAAGAGGTCTGTATGACTATACAGACCTCTTGAACAAATTGATATTTCTTTTCACTTTTCAAAATCATTATTACAAGCTAAGAAATATCTGGTCGAAACGACAGCTTTCAAAACTTAACTGCTGTAAATTTAGAAAATTAGGTACCATCACTGAGTTGCGCGGTTGAAAATTAGCATGATCCTAATTCCCGACATTAGTGACAGTTCAGTTTTGTGGTATCTAAACGATACACAAACTGTAAGTTCTGTGGTATTTAATTTCGGACAGGGCGCATGCGCGAACTTATTACGTCAGATATACAAGCGTAGCGGAATATAAAGCAGTGTAGCGAAATTTTGGTTCATGTGTAGCAACTTTATAGTTCTTCCAGTTGGCAACACTGCGTCACGCGATCAGACATAATTGTCATGTTCGGAGGTGAACATCCCACTGTTGGCCTTTCTCGGCATTCTTCTGTTTTGTGTTCTGCATAAATATCTGAGCGTGGTTTCGCTGTCGCAGCCGATCTCGGCATTGACAGTCCAGCTCTCAGATTCAGTAATTCTGGAAGTTCCATTTGGGGTGTTTATATTTTCTCGTAGAAGTTGTCCATTCAATTGTAGCAATGCCTCCTGACATTCTTGTTGCGACGGTCCAGTTGTCTTTGTTGTGACATCTCATGTCGTTCTCGGTATTGAATCTCCAAGTCCATTTTTTTGTGTTCGACGTATTCAATCCCCTAAATCGCTTCAATACAAGATAACTAGTTCGCGCTATTTTATCGCGAATTGATGACATCCCAGTCTTCTGTGTGTTTTCGCTTTCTCGAACTACTACTTTCTCAGAAGAGCCAATAATGCACACGCGGTTGTACCTACTTATTTGTATAATTTAGGAGATGAGCTCGCGCTGGTTTGTCCCTAACCTAACTCCCGATTAAAACATTCAATACAATGACTCTGACGACGAAATAGTCAGAGGGAAGGATTCACGGAACTCAACTTTCCAAGTAAGACCTTGGATCGCTAAACTGATTTCCAGACCAAAACCTGCAGGTTGAACTGAGCTAAAAAATACAGGATCACGTAAGCTTACTGTTGAACGTCACCCTAGGATGAGGGCTGCTCACAGGAATGGACAATAGGATTCGATGCACTGACGAAGGTCTTAACGGTCAAGTCGAGTCACTAGTCCGAAGGACTGAGCAATGATGAATTTACCTACTCTCCGATCACAGCTAGGTTGACACCGTTAGGTCTCCGCACAGAGTCTACAGGCTCGAGCACTTTAGTGGGAACCTACTTTTCCTTTGCAGGGTTTGGTGGCTACCTTCCTAATGGCGGAGTTCCAAAAAGGCCCTGAAACAGAAAAGGTATGGTTATGCAATCGAATTTATGACTTCCTCTCTTCGTACAGATTCCTCTCGCTGGAGTCTCAGTTGCGTCTTACTCCTCATCTAACACGTCTCCAGAAACTACCTTCGACCCACTTTCACGTTCATCGTCCCCAGCGTCCTACTCCTGACGAAACCAATTCCTAATGGTAGAGCTTCGACCCACAATTGACGACAGCAGCAGGTACCAAATCCAAACTGCGTTCTACAATCTACACAAGCTTTCGAACATTGTAAATAGTTTCTAATTATCAGAATATTTTAGTTGGGGAACTTCAAATTGTTTAAGGAAATGAATATTTGGAAATAAATTTCGAAATATTAATATCTCCCACCTTCCTACAAAGTAGGCTCTGGTTAACGTCTGTCGGAAAACAATACTTTCCCAGCTAATACCACGCTGGATATTGCATTATATCCGATATTCACCCAGCAGCAAGACCATGCTCGAATTATTCAAGTAGATCAGCACTGTTTCAGAAGTATTACCTCTGTTAGTACAGAGGTAATACTTTTACTATGAAACCTTAGTCTGAGAGAAAGATTCCTATACAACTACTAACAACTCCATCTCGTGAATATTCTAAGAAGGTGGATGCCAAAGATAATCTGTGTGTGAACGTAGTAACAAAACCCTGTGAAGTGGCGCAAAGTGGCTGAAATGTGTTAAATATGGTATTCTGTCACACAGTGACATATGTAAGCCGTTTTTAATACCCCAAGATAAGAGAAATGGTCACAACGTAAATTTCCATTCAAATCTTTCAGTCCTTAATATAAGAAAAGTGATGGACACCATATATGATACTCTTTTCATTGATTTAATAAACTTTGATGTTATTTGTCTACCGAAATGGAGTTTTTTGAGGATTGAATGAGTTTTTTGAGGATTCAAAAAACTCATTTTATTTCAATAACTTCGTCTTGAGGAGTAGTTACCGTCGTGAAAACAAAAAGATGGGAAGTGTTGCCATATATGTAAAAAGTAACATTAACGTTATTCAAACTGGACGGGGTTTCCTGTAACCTAGATATTTGCCGGACAGTTACCTATCCTTGTTGTTATAGATCATTTTCGGGGAACCTCAATGTTTTCCTTGATAGAATTCATGATGGTTTAGTATTATTTTAGTAGCATTTAAACCGGGTATTAATATATTTTTATGCGGCGACTTCAATGCCAATTGTTACGAAGAG